TTGGAAGAGTAGCACGCAAGGCAGATTCATATAAGGTTGTAGCAGCCGTAAAAAAAACAAAAGTTACATAAATATGTATGTTTATGCTATAATTATTTCTTGTGACAAAAAAATAGCAGTCGGCTGGCTCAGTGGTGACGGAGGTCGCTAGTGAGGAACGGCACTAACTGTTATGTACAGTGGATCTACAAGTATGTACGTAATACTAGCACTAGGGTTGGTCGAAATACACGAAGCACCTAAAAAAAAATAAAACTTGGTGCCGGCCCGATTATTCAACAAGCGAACTGGGCCCTTTAGCGGTCGCCACCACGGCGCACACAAACAACACCTTGGAGCCCCAATTGCCATCATATGGCGGACAACAATGTGAGAACAAAGGCGACACCCCTACTACTGTGTTTCGTGTCATCCCTCATTCCTACATTCTTACTTTAGGTCGGCACCGTTTTGGGGGGGGTACCCTAATGAAGACTTTTTTCCTTTGCGGTGGCGCTCCACCGACAACTACCTGTTTCGATCAACTTGAGATCATCCTACTACTTAAGCATGTACATACATATTTACACCTGAGTGTCGGTTGGCTTCACACCTATCGGTTTCAGTGAAAGGAAATAGGTAAATACATATGTATACCGAGGGGGAACAAAATAATATTTTGTTGCGGCCAGTACGCGACTATATGACAGTCTCCTGACATATGTATGTACATATATTATTAATAACAAATAAGACAATACAAAACAATTTTGACTAATTACACTTACTTTTATATCAAACAATTAGTTTAGCATCAAACATAAAATAAACATTATTGGGACACGCTAATGTTTTCTGATAAACTAATTATTTAATACCAAAGTGTAATTAGTTAAAATTGTCTTGTATTGTCTTATTTGTTATCAATAATATGTGTTCATTTGTATGTACATATGTATATGTTGTTCGTATTCCCTGAGGAAGACGCGAGTATGCGTCGAAACGCGTAGGAGGAAAAGTAAACGTTTGCTTTATTTGAAAATCTCCAAACACAACAACATTACATGTATTTTGTTTTTAGTTTTAAGTGTGGCGAATGAAAACAAAATATAAACAAACAGCTCATTTGATCATCGCCAAAGGCGAGAAAGACTCAAAGCAGCGGTTCTAATAACACTATCTTTTATGATTTCGCCTCGGTAGCATATTTCGTTTTTTTGAATTTTTTAGTAAAGTGTTTGCCAAATTGATTGGTGATTTTCATTCAGAAGAGGAACGTAAGTAAAATATTTTTATTAAGGTAAATCAATTAATGAAGTGAGCCAAACTTTTTAAAAATTCCCTAAATTAACAGACATAACCTATGCCATGAATACAAGTAAGCCAGCGGCCACGCAAGTCGAATGTAACTTTAAAGAATTTGAGGGAAGAAAAGATTACATCAATCTCCGTAGTGTATTTGCAAAATTTTTTATTTATGGGACCTTCAAAATAAATAATTATTGTAAATAGCTAAGTTGATCCTCAGCAAGTAATAAGGTGATTAAAATAAATTTATACTCAGAGATTTTATTTTTATTCAAAAAAAAATTGTATTTAATATGTTACCCACCTTTTAAGTTCTTGATGACCGACTTACCATTTACAATAACGTAACCACATGGGGCGAAGCTGCACATCATTACATAACTAGAATAATGATAGCCAAAATATGTTTTAAAGCTTCTATGTTTTCCACTGCAATGGATGATGCCTCGAATGATTGTAGATTGCAAAATAAACTGACCTTTGTCCATATAAATAGAGCACAAGATCCACCGCACGATGAGCAAATTATCCATCAAGATGACCCGAATCTGGCATTAGCAAAGCTTTGAACGACTCATCCTCTACAGGCATATCATATGAATCTGAGGATATTGGTTTGATTAGGACACAGATTCAGGATATGGACAGAGAAACATCTTTATTACCTAGAGCTGCGATTAAAGGAAAGACTGGAACAACATCAACTTGCTCAACATCTACTGGTACTTCTGGCGTGAAACAAACGAGGAAGCGGATCTACCGCAAAAAACCCCTGACATGAAAAAGGAGAAGATTGGAGAATACTTGGCTTGATGTCCAAGCAACAAAGCACGGGCTGCGGGGAAAAGTGGAGAAGGAAGGAGAAACAAAACAATTAAAGAACGTACAATGGGCCAGGGTTGTACAAATGACTGTCGCATCAAATGCAGTGAAAAGATAAGCAGCGAGAGCAGAATCGCCGTATTCCACGCATTTGGAGTTTAAAGAGCAAAGAAACTCAATGGCAATGTTTAAATAATTAGGTGATACGATAAACTCAAGAAACTAGAGATAGTGAAGAATCACACATGGAAACTGATAGTGACTCTGAGCAAAAGAAGAAAAAGTGGAGTTACATGCTTCCTTCGTCAAAAGACAAACTGTGTAAAACGATGTTCTTGAATACCTTAGGTAAATAAATTTTCTTTTCCTAAAATGTTTCCGAAAATATTAGAAGGAGAGCTCATGACCAAAAAACTCATCATATTTCAGATCGATTGAATTTTTTTGTGAGCTTAGCTTGTTAATATATAAATCGAGATCTGGAGGGCTGGCTGCTAATTAGCGGTCTTAATTATGCGTTTTTAGCTATTAAAGATGTCATTAAAAACCGATTACTCAACATACTTCAGATGACTTGAAATTTTGATAAAGTTTTATTTACAGTATACAAGGTTGCCTGCCCATTCTTATGGTCTTAAAGTACCACCAGATATGTTGTAACCATAAGTCAATATACTTCAGACGGGTTGTCCTTTTAACAGCACATTAGTAATATTATAAATAGATGAAATTTCTACTGCCAGCCCATTCTCATGGTCATAAGGTGCTGCAACCCATACTGAAAGTGCATTGCTGCAATTATAAGTGATAGAAAACACTTTGAAAGCTTACATTGAGAGGATTTTAGGGTCATACAATCTGCGTAATTGGTGAGGGCAAAAACAGCCAAAACTGAGTTTACTTCATTATTTTTTTTATTTATTACCGGATTCCAAACTGTGATATATCGGTGAAAGTTCAGTAAATTATTAAAAAGATAATTTTGAGCGTTGTATATTTCTCTCAGATCCTTTTACCATAGAATGTCTCATTAACGTACCATGTTCAAATAACTCAATTTGTATCCAGTTAAAGACCACTTTACTCTTCATAAAATTAAACATTTCAGAAAGCGTTGCATTTTTTTCCTATCAAGCGTAAAAATAAGTTAATAATGAGAAAATATTACAGTGACTTGAAATTTCTCTTTCAACCGGAGAAAATGTTGATGTTGATAGATAACTCATACACCATGGCAAGCGAGTAATTTTTGCATACAGACTAAGAGGCCAATAATCAATTGCATGTCTTTTGCCGTTGAGTTTTAAATGCAAGTTTGGTAATAATGCATTTAAATACAATAACAAAACTCCACACCGATCCCAAGTTTCCTTGATACTTGCCTACAAGCCTAAATTTAAAATAAAAATTAAATTTTTCCTTTAATATGGCTGTTTTAGGACTCACCAAGGACCACAATTTTTATGACCCTCAAAACCTCTCAAAGTAATCTTTCAAACTAGGGGGGTAATATCAAAGTGTTTTCTATCATTTATACTTGCAGCCATGCACTTTCAACATGTGCTGGCAGTACTTTAAGATCATAAGAATTGGCAGGCAACCTTGAATTCATTTTATATACACTGTAAATAAAATTCCATCAAAATTTCAAGTCATCTAAAATATGTTGCGTTTTACTTGCAACAATACACTCTCAATATGGTCTGATTGATTACCTTTTATTCGTTCTTCTTATCTATCTGTTAAATAATCTCCTCACGTTGAAGATATCTCATACCAATGGATCAGGACAGCGAAGAAAAAATTAGAAAGAGCAGGTACTACTGGATTAAATATAGAAGACAAGAGAGGCAGGCACAGTAACAGGCCACATAAACTCTCAGATGAAACCAAGAAGGAAGTAAGAAACCACATTAAATCTTTCCCAGTAATGGAAAGCCATTACTGCAGAGAAACTATAACAAAGCAGTATTTAGAAGAGGGATTAAATATTTCTGTGATGTACAATCTATAAAGAAAAGACAGAAACAGAAGGAGCCCCATGTGTTTGGTCGGCAACGTCGAGAAATAAACGCCATTTTTACAATTACCGTTCTATTTGACCATTACTGCGCAATTTTTAAAATGAAAGTGACGAATAAACAACAATTTGGAGAAATGGTGGATATTTATCAGAAAAACCTTTACTGGCTATGGATTGGAATAAAGACCTAATCAAAAGCCAAGTAAAAGCCGAGTGGGAAAAAATTGCAACCAAATGCTGCAGCTTTGGCCCCCCAGTTCTGATGGAAGCGGTTGGCAAAAGGTTATAAATGATAAAGTTGGAATAACTCTGAATATTACTCATTATCTTACTTTATTTTTTCAAACAAATAAAAATCAAATAGGTTTGGCATGATTTAAAATATGCAGTAAAAAGCAAGCTACGCCATAACGCTTCTGAATCAAGAGCTACAGGAGGTGGAATTTTTACGCAGCGTATTCTTTCTCCACTAGAGGAGTCTGTGGCTAATTTGGTTCAATTTAATAAACAAATTAACCCCGGAGGGGTATTATGTTTTACACCACCAGATGACCAACCGCGCACAAGCTCTCAAGTTTTATCAAATGTAGACCGTAGTACTTCAGAGCCTATAGAAATAATCTCCAACAGTATAATTTATGAGACTGATGAAAATAGAGAGAATATTCTGAAATATTCCACAAGACTACTTTATTTTAAGTATGAAGATAATAAGATAACATAGAAGAATTAATATAATCATGTTGCCAGATTATTAATTAAAATTAAATGGTACAGAGTTGATTGTACTTAGGTAAGGTTTACAACACTTCTCCACCATGAAGAAAATCTTGATTACATGTACTTTAAAAGTATACTATAGCATAGGTTATTTCCGGAAATCTGGCGCTGCATAGCGATCGACCGCCAGGCGAGTACGCGCACCCCTGCGAACTGGTATACCCTCTTTGGACGAGTTATGCATTTGCGTTGGCTGCTGTGATTCTGCTTCCGTTGAGGATGGCTGCTGTTGAATTGATGAAGATACATTGGTTGGTGGAATCCACGGTACAAAGGATTCGGCATCAGATGAGTTCCGTGGCTTCAGCTGGTTTGCATGGCGTTTAAGGTAACCGACGGCTGTGTTGACTACATAAACCGTATTAGCGAGTTGTCGCACAATTACGGCTTTTAGCCACTTTTCCTCTCTCGCATAGTTACGAGCGAATACGGTTTGATTTACGATGAACTTGGGACTGTTCGGAGCTGGCGGATTCAGTCTTGCCTTCGGTGATTCGAAAACCTGGCTCAGTAACGTGCGAACCGGTCTTCCATGCAAAAGTTCTGCCGGCGATTTACCCTCGTCATTTGGCATAAAACGATATGTAGATAAGTACTTCCTCACAGCCACATGTAGTTGTAAGCCGTCGCCGATATTTTTCTTGACAGCCGTTTTAAAAGTTATGACAAACCTTTCTGCGAGTCCATTTGAGGCAGGGTGAAATGGAGCGCTCGTAATATGTTTTATACCTTGATGGGTGCAGAAAACGTTGAACTCCTCTGACGTAAGCTGCGGCCCGTTGTCACTAGCAAGTGTTTTTGGGATGCCTTCGATGGTGAAAATTGTAGCTAGCGCAGATATTGTAGCAGCTGTCGTTGTTGTAGTCATCAGGGAAATGTAGGGGAATTTGGAGAAGGCATCAACGCAAATGAGCCACATCGGGTTGAATACTGGACCTGCAAAATCGATATGCACCCTCTCCCACGGGTGTTTTGGGTCGGGCCAACTGACATATTCTTTAGCTAAGGTGGGATTGACAATTTTGCATACATCACGTTTGTCTGCAACCGTAGCAATGTCCTTATCTATATCGACCCACCATACGCGTTGTCTGGCTAACTGCCTCATCCTGGAACTTCCCCAATGACCATCATGGAGTAATTGAAGTATTCGTCCTTTTAACGAACCCGGGATAACGATGCGTGTATACTCCGTCTGGAGGCAAAGGATATCGTTAGTTATAGTCAAGGCATATTTCCTGTTGAAAAACGGACGAAGGTGAGCGTCTTTTGGAAGTAACTTCTCAGGCAACCCCTCTTCGACGAAATGGCGAACTTGTTGAAGGATTTCGTCATTTTTTGCATGTTTTTCAATAGTTTTTGTATTTATTGGGTATTTTATTTGGCACACATTGTAGCATGCTTCTTGTTGGTCGAATTATTCATCTGTTCCTATTGGTAGGCGCGATAAGGCATCCGCGTTACCATGGTCTGACGTCTTGCGATACTTGACTTTGTACTGGTAAGCCATAAGCGTTATTGCCCAGCATTTAAAGCGGTGTGACGTCATCAAAGGTAGCTGGCAGCTAGGATTGAAAATATTTACGAGGGGTTTGTGGTCCGTAATAAGTGTGAATGATCTCCCGTACAGGTATTGGTGGAAGCGCTTCACCCCGAATATGATCGATAAGCCCTCTTTCTCTATCTGGCTATATCGCACTTGATGCTTGTCGAGAGTTTTGGAAGCAAAGGCAATGGGCCTTTCACTACCATTGGGATACGTATGCGAAAGCACTGCACCGATTCCGTAAGAAGAAGCATCTGTGGCAAGAACCAATGGTAACTAGTCATCGAAATGCGCTAGTTGTGCTGCGTTGAGTATGTGTGATTTAAGCGCTAAGAATGCCTTCTGTTGCGCTCGTCCCAAACTAAAACTAACCTTTTTACGGCGCAGCATGTTTATTGGGGCCGCCAGCTGAGAGTAATTGGATATAAAATTATAGTAATAGTTTATCTTACCCATAAACGCTTCCACCTGTTTGAGATCCCTTGGCGGTTTAAGGTCTCTTACCGCTATCAGACCACTTCCGTCGGGTAGTATGCCCTTAGCACTCACTTGGCGCCCAAGATATTCAATTGTATCTTGCAGGAACGAGCACTTTTCTTTTTTGCACTTGATGCCACTGTTTTGCAGAATTTGTAGTACAAACTCGAGGCGCTGTATGTGTTCATCGAAGGTTGACGCGGTTATTATGATGTCGTCCAGATAATTACCACATCCCTAAATACCACTGAGAAGTTGTTCTAGGTATTTCTGGAAAATTACTGGGGCGCTAGCTATTCCATAGGGTAGGCGTTGATATTGGAATAGGCCCAGCGGCGTGTTGACAACCATTATGGTTTTCGAGTCATCGTCGAGTTCCATCTGAAGATACGCGTCCTTAAGGTCAATTTTCGAAAATTGCTTACCGTGGCGAATAGCATGAAACAAGGCTTCCCGTGTTGGCAACGGGAACCGCTCGATATCGATTTGCGCGTTAACTACTTGCTTGAAATCCCCACAAATTCGTATAGACCCATCTGCTTTTTGCGCTAGGACTATAGGAGATGCCCAGTTTGAGAATTTAATCGGTTTCCAAATGCCCGCATTGGTAAGTCCTTCCTTCTTAAACTGCGGCATTTGCGAAAATGGAATTTGCCGGCTTTTACAAAACTTCGGCTTTGCATTTGCCTTTAAATAGACACTCGCTTTAAAGTCTTTAATCGTGCCAAGTGCTGCCTCGAAAAGTTCTTTGTATTTTGTACAAACCTTTTCCACTTGGTCTACTTCTATTTCCGCTTGAAATTTGCTGGATTTCGAATCCAAATTGTTTGAACAAGTCGAACCCGAAAAGGTTCTCCCCACAGTCAACGTTGGCTACTACAATTTCGACATACTTTTCTTTGTCGCCACACTTCACTTACGTATACAGCTCACCCAGCAATGGAATACGCTTCTTACCGAAGCCGAAAAGTAATCTCGTAGATGCCCTGAGTTTCGGGCTTCCTAAGTCTTTGTATGTTTTTAGATTAACTACCGAAATCGTAGCGCCTGAATCCATTTGGAATTTAATAATTTTTCCACAAATTTGCAAATCAATATAGTTTTTATTTTGTTCAAACTTCACCAGTCCGGTAACACTGTACACTGTGTCAATGTTGTGAACGCTGCGATTACTTTTATTTTCGTATTTGTTTTGCTTTTTACTTCCCTTAAAGCTTTTTATAGTTTCTTCGACATACAAACATGCGCAATGTGGCCCTTTTTACCGAAATTATTACACACAGCACTTTTGAGCTTGCAGTTTTGTCGTGTATGTGACCGACCACAACCGGAGCACGATTTCAATTTCGACGAATCGTTGTTGTCACTTCTTTGCGATGTTTTCTTCTCTCCAACGTTTACTACGTTTACTGACATTTCTTTATCGCGTACTTGTTACTTTATTGCAGCCACCGTTTTTGTTGTGGCCTCGAATGATTCTGCAATAAGTAACACATCTGCAAGGCTAGGTTGCAGTTTTTGTAAGGAGGCAGCCCGGACTGTATCATGTGGAGTATGTGTAAAGATTTGAATGCGTATCATTTCGTCACCAAAATTATAGGAACAGTTTTCTGCGGGGCATACAAACTGACACTCTCTAACGAGTCCACGAGGCTACATACTCTTTATATGTTTGATTTGGTTTCATCTCTCTCTTGAAAAAATCGTATCGCGCTGCGACTATGGACTGAAAATGTTCAGTTAACTTGCCCGTTAAATTTGAGAACGATTGCTCATGCAACTGTTCGCTTCCAAACAAATTCTTGAGGAGTTCAAATATTTCCGTTCCGATCCACGCTAAAAAAACGCTTTCTGCTTCTCGGCAGAAACCACGTTGTACGCACTAAAATGTTGATTTAGCTGTTGCAAGTATGACTCCCATATTTGGACGTCTTTTGCAAAGCTATGAAAGGCTGGCACAGTCGTCACCGCATCCCCGCTAGCACCACTCACTTGCCTTTCGAGGATCCCTTGCACCCATTGGTTTTGCTGCTGAAGCAACTTTTGGGTGAATTCCCTTTGCTCCAATATTAGCTTTTGTAGTACTTCACTTTCATTCGGCATCCCGGCAATATGGGAATTTGATCAATACCGTAGCAAAAAAAATCGCGCGCACGAGCAAAATTTTGTATTCTATTTAATGTACGAATATCGCGCGCACGAGCCTGAATTGCGAATTTTTCCTTGTCGCCACTTGAAAGATTCCACAAGACTACTTTATTTTAAGTATGAAGATAATAGGATAACATAGATGAATTAATATAATGATGTTACCAGATTATTAATTAAAATTAAATGGTACAGAGTTCATTTTACTTAGGTAAGGTTTACAACATATTCCACTCTCAAGAATAAACTCAAGGAAAACACCCCCGACACCGAACAAAGAAAGACTAACCCAAAAGAAAACATCTTCGGCGCCGAACCGGGAAGTGTTACTTCAAAAGCAAACTGGTACAGAGTAATTTGTATGAAAATGTAAAATTCTCACTTAAAGGCATAGAAGGCCATTTGAAAGAAACAGAGCGCTACGAAAGAAAGCGATTCAAATTAGAGGAGGAACGCCATCTACTTTATAAAAAAGAACTGGAGCAAAATGAAATTCAACGCAAAATCAAAAAGCAGCAAAGGAAAGAAAAGATACTCCTTAAACAGGAAAAACTAAAAATACAACAAAAAAAGTTAAATATTTTGGAAAGAAATAATTAAAAGAGTAGTCTTAAGAGTAGTTTTGAATGAACACTTTTATTTTACACTTTATGAATAAACAAAATACTGAATTGCTAAACATAAATAGGTTTTAATTAATCAGGGTGTTCATCAATGAATTTCTAATGTTTGCAGCTGTCTCAGGTGGCAGTGACGTCGTGTCTATACTTGTTTCTTCACTATCTTCATTTGTGGTCGTCTCCTGTGCAACTTCTCCTAAATGTATACAAATATTGTGCAAAGTTGCACATATATTTATAATCGATTTTGCCTTATTAAAATCGTACATTAATCGCTGAGAGCTTAAGAGGCAACGGAAACGATTTTTCATCACACCAATAGTTCTCTCAACAACGTTTCGAGCCCTTGAATGACACTTATTGAATGTACTTTGGTGTGTACCTTCTTCTGCACTTCTATATGGAGTTATCAAAAACGGCTCTAATGGGTAACCAGCATCTCCTTAAATAAAGATGTTGCAGTTTATTAAAACAAATTGAAGCTTTAAAATACCTAATAACCAAGTGTTGTGCTCTTCGTTATTATATTGGGCTTGTAAATATGACCTTATGTCACTTGATCTCCAAATGAGTGAGTCATGAGATGATCCAGGATATCTCGGGTCTATGCTCCTAATTCACATTTTGTGATCACATACCTTTAGTGAAAAAAATTAGGTAGGATAGAAATGTTTAATGCCACTTACCACCATTGTGTTTAAACTATAAAAACCCTTCCTGTTGTAGAATTGAGGGCGTTCTTCAGCACTTGGAGTTCTTATTGCTATGTGCGTTCCATCAACACATCCTATTACGCCAGGGAGACGAAACTTTGTATAAAAATGCTCTCTTATTTGCAATTTTTCGTCCTTGTCTGGCATTTTTATCCACTTGCAGCAAAGTTTCTCCTCCATTAAAGGTATCAACTCTTTAATGATGAGACTGACGGTTGGTTGAGCGAGGCCTAGATTAAACTGGTTTCCAGCTCGATGCTGGTAGCTGCCCTTGGCCAAAACGTTCAAAGTGGCAGCTAATTTTATGGCTGATTGCACAGCAGTGCACGAATTGCGTCTGGTAATGAAATTTCTTTTAGTACTAACTGAAATGCTCGCTTCGAAAGACTGAAATTTCGCACAAACCTGAAAAAGTTAAACAACATATAAACACTCGCAGATGTACATATGCACTTTCAGAAAAAATTACGCCACATCTGGCAAATCATATATATCTAATTGCTGGTCCAGTGTCTTCGCAATTTTATCAACTCCTGCATTTGATCCTCATCTTCTGATGTGCTGTAAAATATTTCTATGCTATTCATATTTTATTAAATTTGGTACTGGGTAGTAATTTTTAGTTAACTTTTGCACTTTATCACTTCATAAACAAGCTGTCGTGCTGAAAAAAGTAAACGACGAAATTTGTCGAAAACTATACACTGCTGCCAAGTTTTTCCGTTTTAATACACTAGTCGAGTGGAAATTTTACGCAATGACGTGAAATTTTCGATACGATTCGACTCTCGAAAAACGACTTGCATTCGACACGACTCTCGCAATGAGGGTGAATGAAAAAAATGTTCAATGGTCAACCATGAAACACTGTGAATTGCCTAAAGCTTATAAGGGAAAAATACCTTTAAAAACAAAGAAAAGTGGAAGATATTCAACAAATGATTAGTAAACGGTATATACCCTCTGATTTTCATGATTTTTATAATGCAATTATAGAAATATAGAATAAACGATTGACTTTTCAATATATATTATGCTTTTATGATTTACTTTAAGCCGGAGATGTGCAAGTTTTCGCGGCTTGACATTCTGAAATGTGCTACTCTTCCAAGCGAAAATCTGAAATGTGCTAGTCTTCCACGCAAACATCTGAAATGTAGTAGTCTTCCACGCAAATAATGAAATATGCTGGTCTTCCACGCAAAAATCTGAGATGTGCTAGTCTTCCACGCAAATAACGAAATGTGCTACTCTTCCACGCGAATAGTGAAATGTCCTAGTCTTCCACGCGAGAATCTGAAATGTGCTACTTTTCGACGCGAATAATGAAATGTGCTAGTCTTCGACGCGAATAGTGAAACGTGCTAATCTTCCACGGTAATTTGAGATGTGCTACTCTTCGTTGGGAGCGACGATACGTAGCCAGCTGTTAGACTATACATATGTATGTTCATTAGACTGTGTCAAATAAAACGAATGTTTTTTCTTTCTTTCAGTCTCATATCAAAATTTCGTTGTCGGTTACAAAAAAATAGCCCTCTATCTTCATTTTTTAGTTAGCGCTCGCAACAATTTGTGAGTAATTCCTCAAAACGTGAGGAATTTCGGGTGCGCTTGAGTATTTTTTGAGGATTTTTATTTTATGGAATTTTTGAAGGATTTTCCCTCGATATATTTGCAGATAACAAATGCAACCATGTTTTACACAACAGAGTTTCTAATCGCTCTGCAAATTTTTGAACAAAAAGCTTTCCGAAGTTTTACAAGGAGCGAAATACACCACACGAGCGGCTTGTCAAAAAATTTTAATTTTCGTTCACATTTCCCTCAAACGGCTTGTCAAACCTTCAAAAACCCCTATACAACATAAATAGGGATATTTCGCTTGGTTTGTCAAGCCTCTTGTGTGGTGTTTTTCGCTCTTAAGCACATCTGCATTCGCTGCTAAATATTCAAAACGTTATCGATATTTTTTTTGTTCCAACGTTATATTTTCAACTTATTTTGAGCTTGCAAAACCTCGATCTCGAATGGAGAGAACACGCATTGTTTGATCATAAGAATATTCATATTCAGCCCTATTCTGCATTTCGATTACGTTCCCGCATTCCGCTCCGCAAGAATCGAACTTAGGTATTCTGCGTTACGATCGAATCGAAAGAGGAAGAGGAAGAGAGAAACCATCTTTCGAAATCAGCTGTTTGCCTAGGAATGTGTGAAATCGAAACAAAACAAAAGAAATATTTGCCACCAAACTATAGCAGCTTATCATGATGCAATAATGAAAGGTGTTGTACGTTGTGACAGCTCGAAATCGAACTACCTTAGGTCAATATTGTATTTTGGAAGTACAAGAAAAACGGGAAGAAAAAAAGTCCTTTAGTTGAAAAAGTACTAAATTTTATGCCTTCTCAACAGCGTTCCGATTATCTGAATAGGTATATATATGGCTTGGTAGTCTCATAAAGCTGTAGATAATTAAAATAATAAAATAAGGCATGTTTTTATTCACAGGAATATGATAATATGCTTAAAATTTTTGAGCTGATGAATACCCAGCTAGAACAGTATGGCACATATAACTCCTTATATAAGCCGCATCACTAAGAAAATTATCCCTTGTGAATTTGAAATGTTTCTCTTATATTGTACAGGCCAAATAGAGGAATTAATTTACGTGTGATATTTTGTCCCCCTCTTTCAAATGGGCTTCTTGTGCGCATATATCAGGTTTGATAGCTGTTGACCATACCAATAATGCCTCATACTCAGTTTTACTAGATCAATTCGTGTTCTCGAGAAAAAAAATTTCACGATTCAAAAATCTGAGTATAGCGGCCAAATTCTTTTCTAAAAAATTTGAAAAATCTTCGTTTTTTGGCCTATATTTGCTTTGTATGGTATTTGCCATAAAATATAGGCCAAAAACGATAAATGTTCAAAATTTGGAGAAAAAAGATTTTTCAGATTTTTGGATCGTGAAAATTTTTTTTCTCGGAGAACACGAATTGATCTAGTAAATCTGAGTATGAGGCATTATTGGTATGCCAACAGCTATCAAACCTGATATATTCGCACTAAGGTTTTGTTGTGTTCCACAGTGTTATATTAGGGATACTTTGAGGAATCATATAAACAATTATACATTACCCAAGTTCACGTACATCCAAATTATTTATTTGTTTTTGAAATTAACAATATATTTCAGAATTTATAATTAATACGTTGCGTTCATTTTAGTAAATCCACTTTGATTTTTAATTGTACAAAATTTATTATATACATACAGTATCGGTCATATCAATAGCAACCCTATTTCAAAGTGATGTTATTTCCCTCTCATTTCTAAGAATTTACAATAAAAATAAAGTTCAATTTCTAACAAAACCCATATAAACCCAATTTTAAAACTTCGTAGAAAACTACAAAAAATACAACAAATTTTCACCCAAAATTCACATTTTTTTCTCAGAAGTCCTAGAATTTTTTTGAGCACTCAGTTTTATAGCCCCTTCAATTTTAGTCTTAGTCAAGTTTGAAGTGGCTAAAAATTACCGTTGATTTTTTAGAATCGATATAAAAACAAATCGTGTTTAATCGTCTTCCATATACCGATAAATGCGACTATTTATCGATGGCTGAGTGGAATATCGACCTATCTCGGCAGCCAGGTCGAAAACACTCGATATCAGAAAACTTTTCAACGCCCTATTTCAAAATTTGGCTGGAAAACGCCCTATTTTAGAATTTGATTGAAAAATGCCCTATCTCAGAACTCGGTTCAAAAACACCATATCTCAGCTGGCGATCCAAAAACGCCCTATCTGAGCACATTTTCAAAGTATTTTCATTTGAGATAGGCGTATATGTAATACTCCTATATTGGCAGTAAGAGCTAGCTAGTACCGTCCGAAAACACTACAGTACAGATATATCAATAAACACGTGCGAAAGAAAAGGAACACATACGTTTATAAATAAACATGTACACAACACATATACAAAAACGGCACTCAAGTACACAATACATTGATAAAAACGGTACTAGACTGTCTCGCTTTGATTTCGGAATGCTTACACATTGAGAAGTTAGCTTGCTGCCAATATAGAAGTATTACATATATGGAGATAGGACTTTTTTGAACCGAATAATATTAATAACATACTATATACATATCTAGTTTCAACATAAAAAAATTATATACACATTAATTGTCTGTACATATCTAAGTCAATATATGTGATATATATGTACATACTAGAGCTCTAGATACCCGGGTATCGAGCAATGCGAGTAGCTCGATACTCGCTCGAAACTCGTTCATTGCTCAACTGCTCAAATGTTTGTTAAAAATTTTCGAGTTTTTGAACAATTTCATAAACAAAAGAAAATTTGTAAATTGTATTTGTCAGCAGCTGCTTTCTAATTCATGTTAAATAAATTATATTATTAAATATCAATGTAACAACCCTTGCATTATATATCAATAATTGAAAAATTTTAAAAGTTTCTACAAAAAATGTCAATATAATAAAAAAAACATTGTTCAAATTACTCGAAAAAACTCGAATTGCTCGAGCTCATGCTCGAAAATTTTCGAGTAATGAGCATTGAACAAGTGTGCGAATACTCGCTGCTCATATACCCGGGCTGTTTCAAAATGTGCGAACAAAATCGAGAGCTCTAGTACATACATCTACATATCGTCGTTTAAAGTACAAAACCGTGTATCAATAAAATGCAAAACCGCGTATCAAGATAATGCAAACCCAGCGAGGTTGCATAAATTATTTTCTAGAGAGTGAAAACACTCATATTTCAAAATGGTTATCTTTTTTCTAAAAGCAATCGCATTCAGGGATGCCGTTTGGATCTAAATAGATCCAATTGGATACATTTTTAATCGAATTTTTGCGGGATACTTATTTTTTCCGGTCAGTATAAATGTGGATACTTTTTTAAATAGGCCAAAATTTTATATTTCCTATAAAGTTTTTTTCGTTCAAAAATCGATTTTCATTACAGATGGTAGAAAGCATTACGTTTTCTGAACGTATACAGAATCGCTATTAAGCGTGAAATTAAAGCATTTTATTTTTTGTGAACGAAGCAATGAACATATGAAGAGATCTCACCAAAATAGGTATAAGCGCAATTGCTTTAATTAGCTTAAAAGGATGCTTTAAGCAATAAGCAATATACATATCGTCGTTTAAAGTACAAAACCGCGTATCAACAAAATGCAAAACCGCGTATGTGACGTTGCATAAATTATTTTCTAGAGAGTAAAAACACTCATATTTCAAAATGGTTCTCTTTTTTATAAAGCAATCGCATTTCTGGCTAGTATATTTCAGGACGAATGGATAAGGATTGAGCTTGTGTGAGCAAATCCAATTTTTGGCAGCAAATGTCAGTTACGCGGTTTTGCAGAATGACGATACGCGGTTTTGTACTTTAAACGACGATATACATATATAAAGTAAATTATACTCTTTCTGTAGTAATATCTTTCATATCACATATTTTAATTTGTTAATTTAAAAAGAAAGAAGATTTCAATGCAGTTCAAAAAACTAAATTTGATTTATTTAAAGAGACTTTTATGAATTTTACTGAAAAGACTTTAAATACACTAAAAAATTTGTATTTATTTGCGCATATTAAGAGAGGTAACCAGTTTCCTCTTTTAATGTGTGCAAATTCGCACGCCGTGTAATAAAATTAATCATTGCCTGTACACATAAAATGTTTAAATAAAGTAATGTTTATTATTAGTAGGAAATGAGTAGTCCACTTGCAAACAGCGTTATGTGATTTTATAATAGAAAGCCATAAATTTGAAAAAGTGACTACGACAACAAGTAACATTTAAATTGAATCTTTTTTATTATTACCTGAAAATCTGGATAAATAGGAGCCTTATAAAATTGTAACATAACATAACATGTCATAAGATAACATTAACAGTCTATACGACCTAAAGCAGCTTTCTAAGTTCATCAGAAGATTGATACTTTTGAAAGTTCATAAATAAGTATGATAGCGACTTTTGGAAGAAGACTTAACATTTGATGCTATTTTTTTCAGAATATAAAAAGATTTTGCACTCTGTTGTTAGTGGACATGAAACTACTACTGGTACGTAATCCGCCAAAAACTAAGAATCGAAAAAATTTTACACAGCGCACTTTGCAAGTAGACTACTCAAATGTATTTGTAGTTTGAAAATTTTTGCAATTTTAAACATTCTATATGTGTGTATTTATGTGTATATTTTAAAGATCCCAAGCTCAAAATCAAATACTGAACATCTTAAACGTATATTTATACAGATGCTTGAGGAAAAATAGATACTTTTCAGTAGTAGTTTTACATGCTCTTTTTAGAGTGTACTTGCTACTTATTATATTTACTTTGCAAAATACTTATGCACAAAAAATGTACTTTATAAATTGAAATTACAAATGCTTGATTTTATGCACATGTATTCCAAGTCCTTAGGATGGGTTAAATTATGTCTTTTTCATGAAAATGTTTGGTTTTCTTACAAATTATGAGATGTATATGTAACAAAAAAAATTTGATACATTTGGATACATTTTTGGCTTGGTCAGGGATACATTTTCTTGAGACGGCGCGGCAACACTGATCGCATTTTTGGCTAGTATGTTTCAGGAAGAATGGATAAGGATTTAGCCAAGAACTTGTGTGAGCAAATCCAATTTTTAGCAGCAAATGTCAGTTACGCGGTTTTGTACTTAAACGACGATGTTTATATTAACAGGAACGCTGCAATCTAATACACTGGTGAATCAGAAACGCAGCACAGCAGAAGTATACAAACAATCTGCAAATGAATGGCTTTTTAGGTTTTTAACAAACAAAAACCTGGTTTCAACTTATTTCAACGTGTCTAAAGCACAACGCACACACTAATGCAAAGGCGCAACAGGGACGCAACACTGTAAAACACGGGCGGAGCAGGAACGCAGCACAGCAGAAGCGTCCACAAAATCTGCGAATAAATGGTTCATTAGGTTTTGAAATAACAACGAGCTGGTTCCAACTGACTTCAAAATATCTGCAGGATGATGCACACAATCAAATTCGGCCGCAGCTGCAGCTCACCAGAGAATGCTGCAAATGGAATGGTTCATCAATGAAGTCAAAATAATATGTTGTAACTTACGTGTATTAGCTCTTAATTACAATACCAGCACAGGTCGGCCAGGAAAACACTAAGGAAATTACCTAATAAATGCAAAATTATAATTAATTTGTAAAATAATTCGGTTTTATTACAATACTTACCAAATTTCAAGCAATTAGAAAACAAATGTCAGCGAATAAGAACAAAACGAACAACGAAAATTGAATCAATGTAGCTTGTTTAGAATTTTTTTCTAATATTTTGGGAAATGTTCAGTGAAATTAGCAAAGAAACAACACAGTTTCTCCTAAGGTAGCTCAAGATGGCGGATTAGAGCGAGAAGTTGCCAACGTATAACACCTTTCATTATTGCATCATGGCAGCTTATGAAATTAAAGTTTGTAAATATTTTAAAATAACTACATACATCTAACATCATTGTAATTTAAAAATAAAATTTCGTTTGTGCTTTATTTAAGTGGAAACATAATTACAAAACTGAAATCCATAGCCGCGGCGTTATTGCTTGAAGAGGAGAACGAGTCCCAGATTGCTGATGCGGAAATTGAAAGGCGGAGATTCAGGGACATTTTTGATCTTTCTCAGATGAGTGAAGAGTCCCAAATTCATCATGAACTGTATTACTCATCGTTATTTGAGCACTCCACAACATTTGCATTTACTACAGAGTGGAAGATTTGAACGCAAATGAATTCCATTTTGAAAGCCGGCAGGAGGAGGGGAAGAACAAAGCTCCATAGCAAATTCGAATTCGACAACATACGCACCTCTTTTTAAAAAGTTAGTAAAAACGAGTGCAATAATAAAAGCTTCTTTTTTATGTAACTTCACATTTTATGTATGTATGTACATACTTCTATTAATTTTATATACAAAGAATAAATTTTATTCAGTGCATTTCACAGTCTTATTTATAGGTAATGAAAACAAAAACGCCTGTGCTTCCTTTTTGAAAACCTCGCGCAATATCCCTTTTGGTTTCTAATATTTGAGCCAATTTTTCGTATTGCCCGTATTACCGCTGCGAAAACACAGACATCGAGAAAATTCATTTATAATGACTTACAATCATGCACAGTATATTTTACTTAATTTTTGACGTAGAATACGTCTTACCTTAAGGTATGGGGGCTATGTTCAAATGTTGTAGTTGTAATTTTTAGAGCTTCACAAAAACGCTTATTGCACGAGAACTAATAAAGCGATTTCAAAGAAAAGTGTGGCGTTTCAAAGACAAAATTCCAAGCCTGTCGACAGATTCATTTTTGTAAATAAGCAATTCGGTTTCTGTCGTAAAAACAACGGTAAACATTGCCTTATTTTGGGGTCAATTTTGAGCCTTTAAATTGCTCTAGCAACTTATTGTTGGCATATATAACTTTCATTTTCGGGATATAGGTTCTTTGGAGCAGTAGAAATATTATCGGGTACAAATTTTATATAAATTTAACAAATATTGAGCATTTTAAGGCAAAAAATTGTTGAAAAAATTTGCAAATTTTTTTCATTACCAAAATGCTCGAATGATTTTGTTTTTGTTTTCTTTCATCAAAAATTCAAGAGTTTTCCTTTCGTTTGGTATATGGGAAGTATTGGTTGATATCTTCTAAGTATGTTTATTTGTTTCAAATATATGGGCATAAATGATTTCCCGTACAAAAACACTTCGTCATCATTTTGCAAACACGTGCATATGTTGGAAGTGTGGGAAGGAGACAAAAAGTATGTATGCGTATGTAATGCGGCTTTTGATAAACAGAGGCGCGCTATTTATAACCTAATCGCAGCGTGTGTACATATGTAAATACATACATACGTACATATGTTGATTGCAGTTAATGTGGATCTGTTTCTATTTTTAGTAATCTATGTATGTCTATACATACATATGTACATACATATTAGGTCCATTCCTTATCTTTTTGGACTAAAATCTGAAAAGTGTCAAAATGCAAGAGCGTAAGCAAAATGCGCTCACTAAAAGAGAATAACACGAAAAAGTAAAGGAACGCAAAAAACCAAATTTTTAGTCCGAAGAATGGCAACAACAAAACTAATGTCAAATAAAAATACCATCTTGTTTTCATTGTCGAGCCGCTGGGATTTATCTTATTAATAAAAAATGAATAATTCGCAACTTAACGTAACATGTTCACCAGGAACTTTCGTGCAGATTCGTCCTCTTGAAATTGCGCTCCATAGTCCGAAATTTGT